TCCTCCGGACACGTTTTACCGTAACGCGATATCGAACAGAAGGCTAGACGCGGAACTACGATTACAATATCTCCACAAATATTGACGCGTTTTATGGATCGGTCAGCAATATTTGGTCCTCGCGATATCGGGCAAACGTTCCTCCTACGAAAACGTTCCAAGAGCTATGTACGTGATTTGCGAGTTCCTCTTCGACGTTGTAAATATACAGGTTCCTGTGTAACGCGTGGGAATTTTTTCGGCGAAATCGCGAGGACAACGAAGACGATCGTAATCCTGAGTTAACTTTCATCGTTGCCGAATCAGAAGTTATCTGAAGACGAAAGATTCGAACGAAAGTGATCCTACGTGTCGTGAAACATTCTGTACATAGAATCGAACCGTTTTTCGAGAATATTGCCTCGTTCCTAGCTGTGAAGAACGCGTTGACAAATATGTACCGAAGCCGCGCCAGAGGAGATCGTTTCGCAATTTTCGACGCGATACGCGTTCGTTTCGAAGAAGCTACGACACTCGAACGAAACGAACTCGAAAATTTTTCAACCGATTTGAAGAAACACGAAGGACAAGACTTAGTCGTCGCACGCGCGACTGCATTCTTAATGCGATGAAAACGGATTTAATAAAAGATACGAAACCTCTTGGAATATCGAACGAACCTTTTAACTTTTAAACATAGACGGAATCGATTGCGCTCCTAATTCGAGCGACGATTTAATTTTTCACCGATACGAATATCGGGTACTCGTCTAAAACTGCTCGCATCTCGCGGATCGGACGAATGGTAGCGTTCACACCGACAATCTTTCGTTAAAATTCATTCCATGTAGAGCGAAAACGCGAATAGTAGATAAAACGAATTTGGCCAGAACCGCGAACTCGGTAATCTCGAATCTCTGAGTTTCGCATGGACTTGGTACCTACACGTTAACCTTTTACGCTTCGACTGCCAACTTGGCCGAGTTTAAGAGTTAATTGATAACGCGAATTCAATAAACGTTTCTACTATTTATGCTTCTTTAAAGGAGCTACTAATTACAAGCCCAAATATTTCTGCCGACTTTCCCGATTGATATTAATGTTAATAAATTACGTTTTACATTTATTACGCATGTACCTGTTTATTTACAGAGCGTCGATGGTAAATGTAAATTACGACGAAGAAGTCTCGACGCGGTTTCGCGTTTACCGTGACGGATCGAATCGACTATGAACCATTTTCGCGCGTGAGATAACGCGATTTTTCGCGTGGCTACAAACACGGCAGCGTAATAACGCGCGCGATATCGTGTAACCACCGTTGTATCGGTCTCGGATGTTCGCGCAATTAAAATCCACTTTATTTTGTCCAAATACTCCCGTATCTCGCGTGATGGCGGGAAAGTTGTTTGCAAAATCGTGCGCAAACGCGTAATCCATTTTGATTCGCGTCTGCAGGTTGCCGCTTAATTTTCAGGAGTCGTCGACCCGAAACGATATCCGTCGTCAATTTTTTTGCTGAAAAGAGTGGTAAGGAGGGTAAGAAGCGAGACGCATCGGGTGAAAATTTTTGGAAGATGAGGTAGCTATGGCAGAGGGCAGAGAGGGTTAGCCATGGTGGGGGTTGCTGTTTGGGTGGGCGTTGCTGGGTCGATACAGGGTGGCTTCGCCGTAGCTCGCGAGGAAAGCTAGACGGAACTGAATGAACGCTTCTCACCCAGCCTCTTACTAACTGCGTCAGATATTGCGTATCGTACGCCTCTAATTTCCTGCTGCCAGATGCTCGTTAGCATCGATTACCCCTCTTTCGCGCGTTCGCTATAATCCTCGATAAATAATTGACTCGTCAAGAATATTCCTTCGAAACATCCTTCGAGGGCCGCTGCAGAAGCGCACGTCGCGGTAGTAACCTTCCGGGGATTCGACACTCGATTGTCCCGAAATTCGCCGATCGTAAAACATCGAACCGTAATCAAGCGTGTATTCAGCGTTAGGAAGGTTTCGTATGGGCGCGATTGATAGCAGCGCAAATTGCTCGTCAGCCGTGTCCCCGGATAACGATCTCTTTGCTCGATTCGAATGAAATCATTTTGGCGTGCATCGGGGATAACGAAATCGTCCCGTCCCGAACGGACGGGAATTGGATCGGGGAATTAGCTGCCTCGAGAAGAATCGGGTCGAGTTTTTAAGAACTCGATGATAAGCTAGACGTTATAGGATCAGCTGCCTTGCACGCGCGCCTGTTTCTCCGTTGGTAATTTGCTCGATAACGATCGCGACTGCCGACCAACAATCGCGTTATCCGATCGGTGCTTCGTCGTTATGCTACGTTTACGCTGAACGAACAAGTGCTCGTTCTTCACCGACGTCGGCTAAAACTCGAGCGTACAAGATAAAGAAGGAAGAACGAGCGGTTGTCCGATTAATGTAAACGCAGCGTAATGGTTTGAATTTTGCCCGAGATCGACGAAGAAAGCGCATTTGTTCGTTCGGCGTAAACGTACCTTAGAGGTTAACGAACATGGAGATTTATTTCTCGTCGCGTCACTCTCTTTTTCCGCGGTGTTTCCCCGTACGATTACACCAGTTATATCGGTCGTTAAATCGCGCGCTTCAAACCGCGTTTACGAAGCGGATGCGCGTTGCGAAACGCGCGAAGGAAGTCCCATTTCGTGAAATTTATTTGTTTGAAGTTAAAGGAGAAGTCGGTACTGTTTTTCCGTTTTATACGACCTTGCTTCGCCTTGGCACGCGTCTAGTCGGAGCACTTTTCGAAGTAATTCCGAAGTTAAAAACAGCAATCGAACGTAATGGTTCGCGCCTGCTTCGGCGGGAGCCATTTTAATTCGCAGAATTCGCAAAATCCTCAGCCATCGGAGACGGAATTAATCCCGTTTTGGGACACGAATCGTTGGCGCCTTAAAACGCAAACGTAAACGCGATTTCGCTGACTCTCGCGAAACCTTCGATAAAATTGATTCGGTCGGATCAATGCGAACGACGACCGTTACTCCGTACGTAACGTGTGCGGTTCCTACCTACGCGACATTGAATTATCGCGAAGCGCGCTTAAATATTCGCGTAGCGTTTCTTATGAAGGAAAAAGTATTCAAAAGATGCGCTAATCGATCTGTTTCGCGGAAGAACGTGGAGTATCCAGCATGATGGATGACGGGAAAAAACGAACGACGAAACGGCATGCGATTACGGTTATAACGTGGCTGCACCCTACACGCAAAATAAAGAACGTAACCATGGAGAACGCTCGAGGACGAGGACCAAGGTCCTCTCGAAAGTTCCTTGATAGTTTTCGCGTCGAGAAGGCTCCGTTCTTTAATTCATGGGGTCACCGTGGAACCGATTCAATCCGCTCCTTTTAAGCCCATCGATCCGAATCGAACGTCGTTCCGACAGAATTGGAGACGCCAGGCACCTCTTCGTACCAAACGAATTTCATCACGCGTGTCATTTTTATTACTACGTGAAATTTCGTCGTTACGTGGACTAGGTACGTAGATAAACATTGACACGGTTCGAAACGAATAATATTTCCGTTTCGATCGCGCTGTTGAAAATTTGCTGAGCGCGCGGTTTATCTCGGTCGAATTTGCTCGTTTTTCGAGCACAAAACGAATTCGTTCTCGTTAGAATCGCAAGTTAGAACAGCGAAACTCCATCGAGTAGAAAAGGTAAAAGACTAGTTCGACTTGTGGTATCCATCGGTTCTCGGCCAGCGCGAGAACGCATAAATCAATCTTATCGTGCACACGCTGAATTTTTGTATATTTTCGCGTTCAAAAGTTAAACCGCGTATGGCCGTTTTAACGGCGACGGTTAACGCGTTAATCGAATAAGCGGGAAGAGGAAAAATGGTGAAAAGCTTCGATCGTTAAAAAGTCGTACTGTTTCAAACTGTCATAACGCGTGACCGTAAATATTAATGGTGTCGAGTAAAAAACGGGAGTTCGCGGATGATCGACGCCGAAAACCTTGGAACCTTCCGACGGTATCGGGGAGTTTGGAAACGTATCGCGGCAAAATTGTACCGAACGTAAATAACGTACTTAAAAATGTCGAGTGACTTTAGCGACAACGGAGAGAACGTTCGACGCTGAAATAGTCAGGTCGCGCGCGAGACGATTTTTTATCGCGACAAGAAATATTTCTCGCGTCCATAGCCTCGATCGATTCGAGGTACGTTATTTTTTTCGTCGCTGGCAGAGTTCGTAATTTCAACGTCGCGGCGCGGCGTTTCTTTCGCCAAAAATATGGATGCGTGCGGTAGGTTTGTTCGCGCTCGCAAGCAGAAAAATGGGGCAACCGAGGTGGAAGATGAACGGTTATATTTATCATTCGGATGAACGATAGAGTAAGCGCGGGAAAAGACGAAGAATCGACGGAGCGGGAGGTAAGAAATTTCGAATAACGGATTCGCTGGTCGAAACGGAGTACTCGTCGAGCGTAACCGGCGTCGCTGTAACGCGGTTATCTCCGCGGTGCTTGCTAAATTCGCGTATCTCGTTACCGACGGAATTCGAGCTGCAATAGAGAACCAAAAGGTCCTGTAACAGTCGGAAACAAAAGACGTTAAGCGAACGAAAAGCGCGGAGTTTTCGCAGAGGAAGAGAGAGAAGGCGAGTAAAGATCGGAAAGAGAAGGGTGGATAAAGGGACAGATATCGTGATCAGGTATCGCGGATAGAGGAACGAAAGCGGAGAACAGGCTGGTATCTAGGGTAGGAAGAGAGGAAGCTCGGCGGAAGCGCGGTGAAAGAGGAAAAGGGGCAAGGACAGGGGTTAGGAGATAGATAGAGAAAGAGAGAGAGGGAGCGAGCGCACGGGGGTAGAGGGTTGAAGCGAGCGAGTCGCAGAGAGCCAGAGGGAGGGAGAAAAGAGAGAATCGGGAGGAAAGAAAGAGGGAACGATCGAGAATTCTCCGGTCAGAGCGGTGGCTCGCGCTTGCGCGAATCAGTAGCAACGCACTGGCACGTAACACCATCGGCGAGCCAGTCTGACGCCAGGCGCCGCGACGCTATGACGTCACTGCTTCGCGTTTTCTCAGCGATCGTTTCTCGACAGCGGTAAGGAATTCATGAATGAAAACTGCTACTTCGAAGCGTTCGCCGTAACTTGCTACGATTCGGGAGGCAGATCCGTCGAATCGCCAGGAGAATCATCGTGTCGGAAGGTCGAACGATCGACCGAACCGATCGATCCCTCGATTCGTTGCGCGAGAACGGATTCGCGGAATGGAACAGACCCGGTAGTGCGACGACCAAAATCTCTGCAACGACTCCCGCGGGACTGTCATCGAGTCCGCGGACTTTCGCGGATTTCCCTCGACGGCTCCTCTCTTTTTCTCGTCGTTTCAACCCGATACGTATCTCGACAAAATCCGAGTGATTCGAGAAGAAGCTCTCGCGTGTTTCTTTTCCAAATGGACCAAACATTGGACCGCCGAGATTCCCTCGGTCGGGACTGGTTCGTCGCGTGCCGTATCCCGTCGTCCCGTTTCGCGAACGAGGGACGAACGCTTTTCCGTACGTTGCCGAGAGGCGAACGGACACGAGGAAGATGCGTTGCGCGTGCCGTCTGCGTTATTCTACTTACGGGCCGCGCATCTGTGTACTCGAAATTATTAACCGCTCCCTTCCACTGCGGTCTCCGACGGTGCGCGGTGCAACGCGATTTTCGAAACTCCGGATGCGTCCGATGCAACGTTAATTCGCGTCTTCGTAACGTTTCGATGTACGAACGCGTCGCAGGATCGTTAGTTTCGTCGAGTAGTACGAGCTTTCGAGCTTCTGTACCAGAAGCCACGGTTTCCGTCGCGATAGGGAAAGTTTCGCTACCGGAACTCGTTTCTGTCTTGCCTTTTGTCGCGAAATAGAACGCGTTGCACGCGCTATTGCGCTTCGATCGTCGCTATTCTTTTGTACCTCGTCGAGCCGTGTTTCTCGCAAAAATTCGATCTCGTACTTCACAACGCGTGTTTAAACGACTAGCCCTTTCCTTCGTTTCGTCGACCGACAAATTCTTCGTCGAGCACCCTTCCCGAACACCTTGCTCGAGCGCTCGCTTTGATCCTCCGCTAGGCCAGTTTCTTTTAAACTTCGTTGAAAATGAAGGCACAAAGGCAAAACAGAGATGTTACGGCAGGCCGCGTGTTTTCTAGGAAAAATACCTTAGAATAACTTGGTACACGCGTAAATTCGAATCGACATTAATGGCGAATCGAAGAACGCTCGATTAGCTTCGATCATTTCGGAGAATATCATCCTATCAACTAGAATGACCAGTAATCCGATAACGCTCGACTCTCGATTCCTGACAATCCGGGGTTCCATCGATCGTTCCCTTCGATCGCCTTTATTCGTTCGTTTTAATCGAAATTCGCTCGCGCGACGTTCGAACGATGGCTCGTGTCTGGTCGCGATACTCCAGTAAGTAACTGCACGTCGGAACGAGCGAATGTCCATTTCGCTTCACGACTTTACGAATACTATCCATTTTACGGTCCACGGGACTTTGAAAATTCTACCGGAAGACCATTGCGAGTTTTGCCGACGATCGATCGGACCGGTCTCGATCCGGGCCGAACGAAACGTTTCGAAAGGTCGTTTCGTCCAAGAGCCGAAGTACCGCAGCGTCGAGTGCTTCCTCGGTACAATTTGACGAGAAAGCGCTGGTTGGCCCAGCGTTCGACAAACTTTCGCGAATAACCTGACCGATGGCATTAAACCATTGCTCGGTAATGGAATTTCCCGAGTTGGGCGGCTGGAAAGCGCGCTCGTAAACTTTGCAAATAATTACGGGCAGCGTTTGTTTTTCCTCGATAACGTTGCGCGATCGACCGCGCGAAATTTCCGGTAAAAGTTCCGTCTCGATCGAAAGTTTGCCGAACGTTTGTTCGGCGATCGCCGTCGAAGGCGGAGAAAGAAGCGAATTCCAGGAGTTCATCGTAGCGAGCAGAGGTCAAGGGTACCGTCGAGCCTCCAGACGGAGGTAAATAATTCCAACCCCGGCTACGCTCCTCGCGGAACTCGATAAAGGCGTACATCGTGCACGGTAGATCGTAGACGATAGTTTCGTCCGTTCCTCGAAATCCGTTCTCTCTTTCGAATCCTGTTCGTGCCGAGAGCGAGCGGATTCCCATCGTAACTTCCCATTGTGGCCCCACGCGATTATTCCGTTCAATACAAATTTCGAAGCGAACTAAAACGAACACCGGTTGTCCCGAACGACTTAATTTGCTTCGGAAGTTCCGACGGTAAATCGACGACCGGGCCGATTGGTCGACGCGAATCGTTAGGGGGGCACGGCACTGTATTCCGAAAAAGGATCCGCCAATAATGCGACGAGTAACGAAGCAATTATTTTCGGAGAGAGATTAACGAAATAACGGTGGGAATCCATGACGGAACCGAACGGGAATCGTTACGCGGCATCGTTAGGATTTTCGAAGCGGTCGTGCTTCGAGTTTCGATGACTCTCCAATTAAAACCGAATTTTGGGACGCCAACGTAACGCGAAAAAAATGAAGAGAGAACAAAGTTGTACTCGGAGGAGATTCGTCGAACGACGAGTTAACCGATATTTTTTAAATTACCCTTCAAAGGCGTTCCCCAGTCGCGTTAATCGCTGATCTCTTTCAACTTCGGAACGGTAACCTTCCGTTTTAATCCGTTCGCGAACTTGTCCACCGCAAAACGATTATCAACGGCGGACGTTCTATCAGTTTCTTTGTATCGTTTCCTGTCGAGACGTCGACTTTTAGGATTTACCTTCTATTTACGCGGAACAGCGGTAGGCAATCCATTCGCGGTGTAATGAAATTCCTCGCGGTGCTTCTCATCGACCCAGTTCAGAAATCCTTGCGTCCCCTGCGATCCTTTTGCTCCGTCTTTTGCGCGTTACGTCGCGCCCAGCGAACGTTATTAAATCGTTGCCATTTCGACGACGTCGAAGATAGATTCGACGAGCTCTCGATATCGGCGTTACATCGACGTCGAAACCTTTCACGGAAACGAACAAAAGGGCCGGTACGGAGGACGAGGGCTTTGAAAGTGGACGAAGCGGTCTTCGTTGCGAGGACGAAACGAAACGTATCGGTTACGGCAATCGTGGAAATTTGTTCAGCGAGTCCAGTGGCATTTACGGTGCCCCTGAAAAGGACACCGTAGATATTTCTAAGTACAATAGGGTGGCCGGCTATCCACGGTGTCTTTCATCGATTTTCCGAATTACGCTCCAAAGTCGAATCCCTTTTATCCCCGCATTTAATAACGGCCACGTTCGTTGAAACGTTCTCGTTGGAAAACCATTCAACTGGTCTGCCGTGGCGCGAAACAAAGAACGCGTCTCTTTCGTTGTCTTTTGTTTGTCCCTTTCCGAAAGAATCGTCGAGCGTGAATCAGAAATCCATTCAAAAGATTAAATTCAATAGCTCGCGTTAAAATTGTCGGGGAAAGCTCGGAAACGCACGGGATCGTAGGAATATCGGGCAAGTTCGAATCTTTCGCGAGTCGCTTCGAAGTGGCGAATCGAACGGATCGAATCGGCACGAGACGAAAGTAGTTTTTCCAGACAGCTAGCGGAATCGCAGTGATGCGCACGATCTTCGAGCGAAGCGACGCGAAACCGACGAATTCGAGATATCAAAGAGGCTTCCAAAGCGAGACGGACTTTTATTCAGGACCCGCGCGACGCGGTCAAATTCCACGCGTCATCGACGCAGCGGCGTTCCAAGACTTTGTCATCGGTCAGGAAAAAGAAATCGAGAAGTGAGGAAAGTGGCGAACTCGAAAAAGTAATCTTGGGATCGAGTCGAGAAACTTTCGAGGAATCGAATTTTTCCTGGATAGAAATCAACGAGCCTCGAAGAAGTTGGCGCTTCCCTTTGAATCGAGCTGGGTCAATCTTGAGGAACGCGAAAGATGCGAAGCGGACGGTGAAACTGCTGGAAAAACGAAGAATAGATCGAACGCGAGCGACGAACGGAAGAACGTAACGAGAGCAAAGGAAATTTGTGATAAACATGGGCAAAAAGAACAGCAAGTTGAAGCAGGATACCATCGATCGGCTTAGCACTGAAACGTATTGTGAGTATCGTCATTGTATCGTTTATCGTTCTCGCTTTTGATTCGGAATCCGTGATGGATAACTTCCACCTCGTCGCTGACAACGTTACTCGGTTACTTTTTCGCTGAAAGGACGGTTCGTTTTTAACCGATGAAAAATCTTACGCGAGGGAACCGATCAAATCCTGAACGGTTCGATCGACGAGCCGTTGTTCGGCGTGCCTGGCCAAATATCGAGCTTACCCGCTCGAACGGATCAACCTGTCTTTCGTTATCGCGATTTCCATAAATATTCGACCAGCTACGCTGTCACCGTTCTCCGCCCCATCGAATACCAGCTTCTGCTCGAACTCGACCTCTAGCGAGTTTTCCGTTTCAGTTACCGACCACCCTCTCGAATTCGGGGTTATCGTGCCCCGAATAATTCTCCGTCACGCGCGCGATAATTCGATCTCTGGCCAAGCATTCGTTTTCCCGTCTTTTTTCGTTACAGGTTTCGCGAAGCGTTTTACGATCGATACTTTGCACGCGCGTCGACGCGACGTCCCTCGAACGTACCTGCGATTTTGACAGATTTCAAAAACGTGAAATCGGTGGAAAAAATTCGGGAGAATATATTTTTTCGATCGAGCGTATATACTCGAGCGAAGGAAAAATTGTTACTTTATTAGCCAGAAGTGGCCAATGTACGCGGTATACCGAGTACTCGAGAATAAGAGCAATTCGTTGTACGAAACCCTCGTCGGGTTATTTCAGCTGCGTTTTCTCGGTTTACCTATGCGCGTGCATTTTATTTCATCGACGGAATCTGCCAGTTCCAAAAGAAAATTCTTCCAACTGACCTGTCCGTAATACCGTGCCGAGAATTACGAATAGTTTCCGGTCTAGATACTTTCAAGCAGTCCGTCTCGGGATTCTCCAGCCAATAACCATTCCTACGTAGGTGGAAAATTTTCTTTCGCGTCGAATCGTAATCCCACCACCGACGGTTTCGTCACATTTTCGATTTCTTTCGCTTCCAGACCGCATAAAAGCCCGCGCATCCTCAACCTTGCTAGACAAAACGACTCCTTTCCCAGTTTCCGCACCGATACAATCCAGAGAAAATTCGAATCGGGAAAAATCAATCGAATCGGGAAATAATAATTTGCTCGTAAAGCGATAAAAAGAAACAGGGTCGAGTACAAAACGCGCGACTAATTCGAGTACAAGTGCTGCCGATTATAGGCTTCCCACGACGCTGATTTCGATCGCGTGATCGATACAGCGTTATCGCGGATAACTTATTGGTTTATCCGGCGTAGATCTTCGCACGAAGTTACCTTATCTCGGTTTCTTTTGTCGCGTTCGTACGATGTAACCCGATTTACGCCCGTTTCCGTGACAAAATTATTGCTCGCCCTTAACATGAAACTTATCGGAATCGCGGGCTACGTAGGCTGTTACCGCCACGATATACCCCGTGCACATCGACCTCTCGTAATCTCTGATCCCTGAAAAATTTGCATCGAAACACGGTTCGCCGTACACGGCATTTCGAAACCGTTTGTGCGTCAGAGTACGAAACCGCGTTGTCGACGTTCAACGCTGCCCGTTTTCAATCTCCCCCTGTTTCTCTTTTCCCGATCCTTTCATTTTTTCGGGTCCATTGTTGAAAAGTACGCGATTCGAAACGTAGCGTGAATAGGTCGCATATATTAAAACCATAACGACCGTCCGATGGGCGAGCTTCGAGGGACCTCCTAAAGGTTTTTCTGTTTCATTCGGACGGAAACGACTTGCGACGTTTCGCGGATTTCCATTCATTGTTCGTCGCGTTGAGCACGCCTGTTCGAACAAATTCGAATTATGCCCGCGTTCGCGGAAAAAAGGATGTAACGAGCGCACGTCTCCGAATCCTAACATTTGCTCGTCGCATACCGATCTCCGTTCTTTCGACGTTCCGTCGGTTTACCTTTGACATATCGCGTCACCCTCGCCTTTAACCCCGTTACGATAGGTCGAATTAAATTTCTCTCCGCGAAAAGGTATTAATCCGTGCTTCCAGCGGCGTAGCCGCGAGACCTTTATTCTTCACGGTATTACGCGATCGGAGCTCTCGTACCTTCCGCAAATATTCCAACGGATTTAACTCTCTGATCACGAGCTAACCGATTCTCGGCGATGTCATCGGTGAAATAACATCGAACCATTACCGAATTCGGAACGTGTACCTTTCGCCCCGTATCTACATACGTACACGTGTATCGGTCGCCTCTATTGGTAGTTCTAACGTTCCGGCTGGCTATAAATGGAACGTTTCTTTACCGTCGCGGCCAGTTCAGCGTCTCGTTTTCCTCGACGTTGCTTATTATTCATTCGATTCGCTTTACCGAGAAAGCGAAGAAGCCCCTTTCATCGACGAAACGTCGCGCGCGCGGAGTCGAGCCGATCGATGCCTCTTTTCCGCGCTTCGATCGACGGACGCGCACTCGAGTACGCACGAGTATTCTACTATTCCGCGCGTGTACCCTTTCGATCCTCGCGTTACTTTTCTTGCCAGAGACGGACTCGACCGGGATACCGCGTTTCCCGCTACAGTCAAACATTTTTACGTTGGCTTTTTCGAGGGAAAAATAAAAGTTTCAGAAGAGACAGGATCGGGGCAAATGCCCGAGGCTTCTTTTAAGCGGTGCTCGAGTCGGTACGTGTACAAGCGTGGCACGGGCTCGTTTTTTCTTTCTAGCCCGGAGCGTGCCTTTTGAAAAAGCGAGGGAACGTCCGCCGCACCAACTTGTCGCGGTGGTCAACGGAGCAACGTCGTTAGCGTTGAAAAATTCCGTAGACGAATGGAAAGAACGAGAATGAAATATAGCGTAAACTTTTCCTGATTCTCCGAACGGCTCAGTGAAACGAGTCAACCGATCGCGCGACTCGGTACGTCGGAGCTTCAAGGTATAATCGACCGAATTACCTTCGCGAGGAGTACGGGAAGACGCTAGATTTCTATCGAGATAATTGCAGCGCGAGGAATGTCTGATCGTGAAATTTGCTCGCCACGAATTATCGAGGTTCTCGTAAAACGCGAATTGCCGAAATTTCGTCGACGAATTTTTGCGGACGTTGGCGTTCTCGTATCTGGAGCGTTTTCATGCTACCGAAGAGTCGTCCGTTGCCGGGAATCTCGTCCGCTTTAAAAACAATTCCGCTCTATTTCCTACGGTCGAAGAACGCGAAATCTGGGAGATCGAAAGGATTCGTCGTGCCCGGTGACTCGTATTCGTCTCCCTTATCGTCCCGAACCGAGTCGAAATCTCGTTTCCTCGCTGTCCCGTTAAACGAGACTCGCCGGAAATCATTCGTTGACCCGATCGAACTCCTGGATCCAACGTTCGATTATCGCTCGCGGTTACCCGGGTCTGGCAAGATGCTCCGCTTCGTGGATGCTTCGGCACGCGACCTTAAAATAACGCTCGAAACGATTTGAACTTTTCTCCAGAGAGTCCGTTTCGAAAGTGCTCTCCCGCAATTTGTATCGTCGGTCGATCTAAACTTCGGCGAGTCACGAAACGGTAACGGTAAAAGCGATAGCGGTCGTGGAGAAAATTGTGACCGCTACAGTTATCGTGGTTACGTGAATTTGGGGGAGTACCTTTTTACTGCCGGAGAATGCTTATTTACTTCCTTGATCGTTTTCGGTTCCGATGGCCTGGTTGACCCTTTGACCGCGAACCACTTGCCCGAAACGTACGCTCCCTCCCTATTACGTAAACTTTCCAATTTTCCAAAGTTTCCATTTTCGTGTTCGCGAAGATTTAAGATTTTGGATGTTCGAATTTTCGCAACTCTAAGATCGACGAATCTTCTGAAAGTTTGCAAATTTACAACTTCCGGAATCTCCGTATACTTTCGCAATTTTCCAATTTCCGAATGTACAGTCACTCAAAATTCGTTTAGCGTTTTATTAAAGAGAACGTGGCGGCGACCTTGTTGTTCAGGATACGACAAATATTGTTCCGCGAGTCGGAAATTCAGGCATGTCCCGAACTTCCTCTTTTCGATGCGCGTAATACGTCGTCGATTCGAAGGAAGATGGCAATTACTCCGGAGAAAATCGAATATCCGCGTCCGCGAAATAACAAGAAACGAACAAGTTGAAAACGAAGGAACGAAACGAGCTTAACAAATTATGGCTGGGACGCGCGCATCGAGCGGAGCGAACCCGTTCGATTAATTGCCACGCGATCCGCTTAATGGACCTTAATTGCCTCCGTGTAATTATTTGGCGTTTTCGACGATCGCGAGCACTTTCCCGATTCGATAACGATCTCTAGACTCGATCGACTTTCGGCAGTTACCTTTAATTTCCTCGCTCGAAGGTACTCGGGAAGCCAGATGGCGAAACGTGGAGCAGGTCTATCTTTCTAGGAGGAAGACAGTTCGATAGATTTTCGAGGATATGCCACCGTTTCGAAAGCTTTGAAAATTCTTTCTCTCCGGGCCGTAGAGCGTAGGTGAAATCCGTCGCGAAGAATGGAGCTCCCAGTTAAAGAAGCGATTCCGTTCTCGGTGCTTTTCAAGAAAAGAAGCAGCCGTAAGGAAGCACGCGTCGAGCACGGCGTCGAGTCGCGCGAAATCTCTAGCCGGATTTTCGTGATTTACACCTTCCGGAAAACGCGAGTAGCATATAATCGGCGTCGGTAAGAACGTTGCGGCGAAGCGGTTGGCGCGGAAACCGCGCTCCGTCTAATTCAACTTGCCCGAACAGAGCTTAATGTCACGTGCGAGCGAGCAAGTGAGCCCACGCTCCCGAGTTCCAGATTCTCCGCCTTGCACGTTCCAATGCAATTACGACCATGGAAATTAATGCCGGGCTATGCTAATTCTTGTTAACCGGAAGTTTACCCAGTGGAGCCAGTTCGCGCCACCCTCAGCCCTTAGGGAAACCGATTTCCCTGCTCGTGGAATAACGAAAGATTGGCCATATTTCCTTTTCGACAAACGACCGAAAAGGTACTCGGTGTGGGTCAATCGGCACCGAC